TACAGTCAGGAACAGTGGTGCTCAATAACCCACAAATGCCACAGAGTGTCTTCATACATTTCTCTTATAATAAATACATGAGATTTGAATGGATGCTTTCTCACATTGGTGACAGTGTATAATGCCTCCCACCCAAATAATTTGTTTAGGACAAATAATAGTGAAAGACTTCTTAATGTTAACTATACAGTTCCTTCCTTTCATGCAAATTCTCTGGAATCACAATAATAAAAATAGCACCTAATGTTTATGACCTGCTATGTTCAAGGCACTGTTCTAAGTACTTTTACATGTTTAGACGTAAGACAAAAAATGACCTTAGATCTCTCTTACAAACTCTTAAAACAAGGTTATTTATAACAAATGTCACAAAGGAAGTGAACTGATAGGACCACAATAATATTGACACAGATGTTTTCTGTGCTAAAGAGCTTTATACACCACAGTAACAGAAGCACTTTCTATTTTAATTTCTAAAATGTAGTATAGTTATAAACAAATGCTTCCCTATCTGCATTCTATCAGCATTTCCATTCTCCCGTATAACTCTCCAAATGCTGAACCTTGTGAATCCCACATTCACATCTGTGAGAATTCTTCACTGATAACGATCAGGAAACGCTATGCTTTGCTAATTGAAAAGAATAAGTTGACTCAAACAAAAATTTGTGAATGATGACTGAAGTCTATTCCACATTCTTCACAGTCAAAAGATTTGTCACTGCTATGAATCCTCTGATGTTGCATTAATTGTGACCCTCGAGTAAAGGCCTTCTTACATTCTTTACACTGATATGCCTTCTCACCAGTATGAATTCGTTGGTGCCGAGAAAGATGTGAGCTCTGAGTGAAGGCCTTGCTGCAGTCCTTACATTCATAGGGCTTCTCGCCTGTGTGGATGCTCTGATGCAGAGTAAGCTGAGAGCCGTGACCAAAGGCCTTCCCACATACCTTGCATTCATAAGGTTTTTCTCCAGTGTGAGTTCGCTGATGTTGAGTAAGCTGGGAACTGCGAATAAAGGCCTTCCCACATTCCCTACACTGAAACGGTTTTTCCCCAGTATGAATTCTCTGATGCTGTATGAGCAGTAATCCACGCGCAAAGGCTTTGCCACACTCGCTACATACATAGGGCTTCTCACCAGTGTGCAGTCTCTGGTGCTGGGAAAGATGTGAGCTCTGAGTGAAGGCCATTCTGCAGTCTTTACACTCATATGGTTTTTCACCGGTATGGATCCTCTGATGTTGAGTAAGCTGTGAGCTACGAATAAAAGATTTTCCACAGTCCTTACACTCATAGGGTTTCTCACCAGTGTGAATTCTCTCGTGCTGCGTAAGTTCTGAGCCTCGACTAAAATTTTTTCCGCACTCTTTACAGTCGTAGGGTTTTTCACCAGTGTGAATCCTCTGATGTCGAGTAAGGAGGGATCCACGATTAAAGGCTTTCCCACACTCCTTACACTGGTAAGGTTTCTCACCAGTATGAATTCTCTGGTGTTGAGTAAGTTGTGAGCCATGACTGAAGGTCTTTCCACATTCTTTACATTCATACGGCTTTTCATTAGTATGAACCCTCTGATGCTGAGTGAGTTGGGAACCACGGATAAAAGCCTTTCCACACTCATCACACTTATAGGGCTTCTCACCAGTATGAATTCTTTGATGTTGCATAAGTAGTGAGCCTCGAATAAAAGCCTTTCCACATTCCTTACACTCATATGGCTTTTCTCCATTGTGAGTTTTCTGGTGCTGTGAGAGCTGGGAACCACAAATAAAAGCCTTCCCACATTCTACACATTCATAGGGCTTCTCGCCAGTGTGGATTCTCCTGTGGAGAATGAGCTGGGACAGCTGAGTAAAGACCTTCCTGCATTCTGTACAGTCGTAAAGCTTCTCTCCAGTATGCAGTCTCTGATGCAGAGTAAGCTGCGAATTCTGAGGGAAAGCCTTTCCACATTCTTTACATTCAAAGGGCTTCTCACCAGTATGGACTTTTTGATGTCGGCTGAGTTGTGAGCTTCGAATAAAGGCTTTCCCACATTCTTCACACTTATATGGTTTTTCACCAGTATGAATCCTGTGGTGTAAAATAAGTTGTGAGCTTTGAGTAAAAGCCTTTCCACATTCCTTGCATGCGTAGGGTTTCTCACCAGTGTGAAGTCTTTGGTGAAGACTCAGCTGAGAGTCACGGCTGAAGGCTTTCCCACACTGCCTACATTCATAGGGCTTCTCACCAGTGTGGATGCTCTGATGCTGAGTTAGGTGTGAGGCCCGTCTGAAGGCTTTCCCACAGTCCTCGCATTTATAGGGTTTCTCCATAGAATAAGCTCTTGGATGCTGAGATAAATAAGTATGAGGGCTGAAAATGGACATTTTGTCATATGGTATCATCTCTTGCCTGTAATATTACTTCTGATTTTCTTCTTCCTTCTCTAGCCTGTCTTTGACTTCCAAATATCTCCCAGAATTATTATTAGTCTTAGGTGCAGTTTTTAAACCTGTCATTCACTTCCCACTGAGATCATTCTGATTCCTTAATGTGCTATTTTGAAGATAAGTCCTTATTCAAACATCTAAAAGTCAAGTCTGAAAGAGAACAGTAAATAATTTCAGAGAAATAGAAATAAAATACCAGAAAAGACAACAGGAAAAGAACATCTGTAAGTAACAAGCATATATTAGTATTTTCCAAACATTGCTTACTACATCCCACCCATATCATTATCTACCATTCAAAGCAAAGTTTACTACAAATGTAGTTTCCTTAAAGTAATACGGCTTTCCATTCTATATTATTCTATACATGCCTCCATAGTAAAAAACCAACTTAAGTGATTTTGATGCTGCTATCCAGAATAGAAAATATTAGCTTTGCTGGGCAGTAGTGGTGCACACCTTTAACCCCACACTCGGGAGGCAGAGGTAGGCGGGTTTCTGTGAGTTAGAGACCAGCCTGGTATACAGAGTGAGTTACAGGACAGCCAGGGCTATACAGAGAAACCCTCTCTCAAGAAACCCAAAAAGAAAAGTTTAGTCACGAGGCATGGCGACATTTGCTGTGATTGATGATGATGATGATGGTGATGATGATGATGATGATGATGATATGTATACACACACACATTAGCTTAGAATGACTTCCTATATTAAAATACATAATGCATGGGGGCTGGAGAGATGGCTCAGCGGTTAAGAGCACTGACTGCTCTTCCAGAGGACCTGGGTTTGATTCCCAGCACCCACATGGCAGCTCACAACTGTCTGAAAATGTAGTTCCACGAGATCTGACACCTTCACACCAACGAACATAATAAAGTTAAATAAAAAAAAAAGTTTAAAATACATAATGCTGGGCGGTGGTGGCACACGCCTTTAATCCCAGCACTCGGGAGGCAGAGGCAGGCGGATCTCTGGGAGTTCGAGACCAGCCTGGTCTACAAGAGCTAGTTCCAGGACGGGCACCAAAGCCACAGAGAAACCCTGTCTCGAAAAAACTAAAAAAAAAAAAAAAATACATAATGGGTACCTGAGATGAGAGAATAATGAAAACTCGCCTGGGAGTGAAAAAGGGTGAGATTAAGAAAGTTTTCGAGTCAGGAAGTGGTGGTGTGCGCCTTAATTATTGTTCCTGAACAGTAAGAATCCTGCCTCGGGTGGAGGGTGGAGATAACTCAGTCTGCTCTTCTGTAAGGCATAGGTTAGGTTCTCAGCACCTACACAGTAGCTAACAACTGCATGTAATTACAGCTCCAGCGGATCTGATGCTCTCTACTAGGCTCTGTAGACAATGCATTTGGTATAAAGACATACATGTAGACAAAAACCACATAAAAGTAAAATCTATTTTTTTAATTATTTGGTTTTTTTAGACCAGGTTTTTCCAGGCTGTCCTGGAACTGGCTTTGTAGAACAAGCTAGCCTTGAATTCAGAGAGATCTGCCTGCCTCTGCCTTTGGAGTCCTGGGATGAAAAGCATGTGCCACCACACCCAGCAAGAGCAAAATTTTAAAAATAAATCTTAATTTTAAAAAAAGGATCTTGGCCAAACATCATGGTGTATAGTCGCACATCCATTTGATCCCAGCACTCAGGAGGCAGAGGCAGGTGGATCCCTGTGAGTCTGAGGTCAGCCTGGTCAACCTTGCAAGTTCAAGGTCAGGCAGAGCTATATAGTGAGACCTTATCTCAAAAAATGTAAAAATATTATTTCTGTTAATTTAGCATAAGTTGTGAAAAATATAAAAAGCTTAAAAATGAGGGTGAGAATGCATAAAGAATTGTTAGGCTAAAAGCTAAAAACAAACAAAGAAAAACCCACAACTGACAACTCAGAGACAGAGCAAACGCGGTCTTCTGTTCTGCTCAAGTAAGTCTGAGCGTTCTGAAAAAGCCACATGAAAAGTGAAAAGCTAAAGCAGTGTTCTGGACTCTCTCATGCTGCTTGGTGTCTGGGCTGGGATTCTGAGTGCTATGATGTAGGAACCTGAGCCACGCTGTCCCTCTCTGTTCTTTTTCTCATCTTATGTAGTCCAGGCTGGCCTGAAGCTTACGATCTTCCTGTCTCAACCTCTGGAGTGCTGAAATTACAGGCATAGGCAGACACTAAGCCCACATAACACTGTTAAATAACTTAAAATTCAGAAATTGAAAAGGGTTGACTCAGAGGTTAAGAGCACTGGCTGCTCTTCCAGAGGATCTAGGTTCAATTCTCAACACCTACCTAGTGATTCACAACCATCTGTTCCAGAGGACCTGACATCCTCTTCTGGCCTCCACAAGAACTACAGGCATGTACACATGAACATGTGTAGGCAAAACTCATACACATAAAGTAAATAAATGCTTTTTAAAAAACTTAGGTCATAAGATACAAGGGACAGAAATTCTTACCAACTGACCCCAAGTCAGCTTTCCAGACATCACTTCTCTGTACAAATCCCTTTGAGTAGAGTCCAGGCATGTCCACTCTTCCCGTGAGAAGTCAAAGCAACACTACTGCACATGGCTGACTTCAGAAACGAACAACACGGCTCCTCAATGGAGGGAACGATACGAAAGGAGACTCCGTAACGGGCACTGCCAAGCCAAAGACGGAGGCTTCTGACGTAGACACACAGCACAGAATTAAGCGATGAGGTCTAAGTGGGTTCCAGTTTTCTCATTGTACTGTAAGTCTGGAGTGAATACAGTCCATACAATGCCCCAGTTTCTATGATGAAACAGCATATACAAATACCCTAGAAAAATACTTAAGTTGGATATCACACATTCAACAAATGCTGTTTCTCTCTGCTGTTTAGGAATAAGAAAAATGATTGAATTTTTTTCCCTGTAAAATCTTTTTTGATGTTATTTCCTGGTTTTGACAGTTTCTCACAAATACCAGGTTGGCCTTGAACTCCGCATTCCGCCTCCCTCCCTTGGTGTTGGGATCACAGGCCTGTGCTGTCATACCCATAACAGCCTTAACTGAGAAAGAAACACATTCCACATTTAGACATTCTGACCCACGGCACATGAGGACAACAGACGTTTCCTCAAGGAAGCTAGAATGTTCTATTTCTTAAGACACATGGGGAAAAAAAAAGACTGGGCAGTGGTAGTGCACTCCTTTAATCCCAGCACTCAGGAGGCAGAAGCAGATGGATCTCTATGAGTTTGAGGCCAGCCTAGTCTACAAGAGCTAGTTCCAGAACAGGTTCCAAAGCAACACAGAGAAACTCTGTCTCGAAAAACAAACAAACAAAAAGACACATGGGCTTGTTATGTTCACATATGTTTCTTCCCATACTTCACAGTCTTTGTTATCCCTGGCAACCTAATAAGCAAAACACTAACATAGTTATTGATTATATTCTATCTTTGCAAGTAGCTGTTTCTAAAGAACCTCAGGGCAAGAGACACCCTGGGTTCTCAGAACATCTTGCGTGCTCTTTCAGTCCCTAGCCTCCCCTGCTGGAAATTCACATTCCAGATTCAGAGTCTTGTTTCATGAACTGTGACTTTCAAACTGTGGAAAGACATGGCTGGTACAACCTTATACGATTTTTAATACTAAAGAATCTTGAGTCCTCATAGTCACCATTATATCAGATTATATTAGTCAGTGTTCTCTAGAGCGGCAGAACTTACAGAATGAATCTCTCTCTCATACACACACACACACACACACACACACACACACACACACACACACGGGATTTATTAGAAGGACTTCCAGGCTGTGGTCCAGCTAATCCAACAATGGCTGGTTATGAACGGAAAGTCCAAGAATCCAGTCATTGCTCAGTCTGAGGCTGGATGTCTCAGCTGTCTTCAGTAGGTGCTGGAATCCCAAAGCAGTAGGCTCTAATGCCAGTGAAAGAGTGGACCTGCTAGCCAGGCGAGAGCAAATCCTTCCTTCTCCTTCTCCTTAGAGCAGAAGGTGGACCCCAGATAAGATCTAGATTAAAGGTCTGGATTAAAAGTGTGTCTTCCTGCCTCAAGATCTGGATTAGAAGGAGATTTTACCACTTCAAATTAAGCAGAAATCCCTCAGAGGTGTGCCCTCTATTTTTGGTTTGTAGTTAATTCCAGGATGTAGTCATGTTGCCAAGCAAGAATAGCTATCACACAGGATGCGTCATAAGTACTTTCTATGTCACCAGTAATGTAATCTTTTTATAGACTATTGTATAAGAAGTAGTTCTGATTTTCATTTTTGAAATTTAAGGTTATTAGAATTATGTTTCTTTTGAATATTACTTATTACTATTTATCACTCTTAAAATCTCCTTTTCCCATCCAAAAATTAGAAAAATAGAAATATATCATCCCAAGTATATACATTCAACCTCACAACTGAATATTGAGTTTCAAAATGATCCAATTACCAGTATTGGTCAGTTCCACATTCCTGATCTCTCTGCAGTTAGTCCCTAGCCATTTCCTAACCTTGAGGTTTATAAAGCTCTTTCTGCAATCCCAGGATGTGAGGCTGATGAAGACAAGATAAATTTGAGGTCAGCCTGGAATTCAGAGTGAGTCTGGGAGCCATGGAAGCTAAATAAGCAAGTTCAAGACCAGTGTGGGCTCCCCAGAAAGGCCATGACTCAAACAAGGAAAGCCACATACTGAGAAATTCAAAGATTTCTTTTTGTTATGTACCAACTTGCTTATCTTATAAAATCAGAGGAATCTCTATCTTATAAAAATCTTCTGTTAGATCAGTGTTCCTAGTCAAAGATGCTGTATGTGGAGCTGGATATATGGCTCAGTAGTTAAGAGCACTTGCTCTTCTTGAAGAGGACCAGAGTTCCCAGCACCTATATGGTGCCTCACAACCACCCAACTTCACTTCTATTCCAATGTTCCCTAACTTCTGGGGGTACCAGGCATGCATTCATATATTCAGGCAAAATACATATATATATGTATATGTTTGATATATATATATATATATCAAACAAATCTTAAGAAATTTTAAATATTTTTTTAAGATTTATTTATTTATTATGTATACAACATTCTGCCTCCGTGTATGCCCACACGCCGGAAGAGGGCGCCAGATCTCATTACAGATGGTTGTGAGCCACCATATGGTTGCTGGGAATTGAACTCAGGACCTCTGGAAGAGCAGCCGGTGCTCTTAACCACCGAGCCATCTCTCCAGCCCAAATCTTAAGAAATTTAAGAGCACTTGTTGCTCTTTTTGATGACCAGGGTTTGAATACCAGCACCCACATAATGGCTCACAACCATCTGTAACTCCAGTTCCAGAGTATCTGATGCCCTCTTCTGGCGTATCTGCACTCATATAGGACACACATGCAGGCAAAACATTCATACACCTAAAATAAAAATTCTTAATTTGTTAAGTTGCCAGATGTACTGTTGAATAGGTACAAAAATATAGGTTAGACTAGAAAGACACAAGTGCCATTATAAAAATGATCAGAACGGGGACCTCATTCTTAAGAGTGCTCAGTTAGGAAGGAGGCTTCAGGAACAAGCACTGTTAACAAATTTGTCTAGTAAACGAGGTAACTAAAAGTGTGTAGTAAATCTCACAAACTAGCTGACAGACCCCAACCAAACTCACTGGTTTCCCCTCGGATGGGAGAAAGCTACAAAGATTCTCAGACAAGCCAACCTACAAAGACCCTGAGGTCAGATCAGTGGCCTGGAAGAAGAAAGCAGCCAAGCTGCCTAGAAGAGGCTAAGAGGAAGCAGCAGGAACACTCTCGATCTTGTTCAGCTAACTGCAGGCTGTGTCGTGTGCCTCAGGTTCCCAGCTTTTGAGCGGTGTCGCTTGTGCTGGGATGGGCTTTGGTGGTGCCATTGTCTTTGAGTCCTTTCTGCTCCTGTAAGTAACCCTCACCCATATTCCTGGAATAAACTCATTGGTTCACAAAGTCCAACTTTGTTGGTATGCAATCTTTGGTTCGTCATGGGCTCCATATCTAGGGTGAGTAGATATAAGCGTGTGTGTGTGTGTGATGTCTTCCTGGAAGAAGTTCTGTCACACAACCTAACTGGCGGGCAAACAGTGGCACGGCAGAAACAACGGGGCTGGGGCGGAATGACGGCATGGTCCCTTCTCTGGGCAGCAAGGAATATAACAGTCTGAGCAGCTTGAGTGGGGAGCATGCACAGAGGAAAATTCAGATTCAGCTGTCCTTTCCTGTATGGTGGGTATTGATGGACCTTTGTGTTATGAAGCTGAAGGAAGGGCTCTAGGAGGCTCAAGCATGTCAAACTTGGCAGAGCAGGCCTTGCCCTCCCCACCTCCCTCTCCCTTGTAAACGGATAGAGTGATCCCTAAAGCTAGCCACGGAGTTCTATTCCCTTATTTGGAAACTTTCTTATGCCAGATTCATTCCTACGGCTTATCACCAAGGTTCATCCATCAAAGTATCGAACTGCAGCAATCAAAAGCCCTCTTTTGGCTACCCCAATTAGCATGCTCAATCAAAACACATCACAGCACCCTAGCCCAGACTAACACAGACCTCTCCCTTTTTCCTCTGAAAAAAAAAATCATACCTACAAATAATTTGCTGTTGTTTTCTGCCTGAATCAGAAGTCAGTCACTTTTCTTTTCTACCTAATAAAGGATGTGGTCTGTGCCTAGCCCAGAGGTGGGAGGGAGCACCCTCCACGGTGTGTGGGTGCTTTAGGCTTAGCAGTGTCTGCAGGAGGAGTCTCAGCATGGCAGTGTTCATCTAGGTGTACAGGATGCCATGCCTGCTTCATGAGTGGGGCTCACCGCATGAATACGGAGACCTGAAAACAGTTAAAGGATTACAGGGAGCTTTGCAGCCTTTGAAATTAGCACACAAGGGTCAAGATTGCTGCCACACAGCAGCAGAGGCCTCCTGGCCACTGTTGTGTGTAGACAGAAATGCATGCCAGGCCGAGATGGCAGCAAATGCAACAAGAGAGATGCAGCCAAGTCAGCCTCATTAGTGACTGAGATGAAATGAGGAGAGAGGCCGGTGGTAAAAGCAGTTAAAGATACTACTCGGGTCCAACCTTAATACAGAAAGAAGACAATCTACGATCCAGCCTGCAGGTGGGGCCTTAGCAAGGGTCCCATATGAGAAACTAGGACCATCAGGATAGCACCCTTGGGCTGCTGGAGCTGGGGAAGACTTAAACAAGCCATCAAAGAGTCGGTCCCAGCCTGGCTTGTGAAGCTGTGGGACACAGGAGCAGACGGCATCGGTCTGGCTGCTGTGGAGGCAGGATAACTGAGAAATGTAGTACCCATCCCCCGGACATAAGGCAAAAGCTGCAGAAGCCACCACAGCGTGAGGGAAGTCAGAGCCATTAGGAACACCTGCTTGTCTCCGGCTACGGTCCTCACAAACAGCAGGGTGTAGAGGCTCCGCTGCTATTGAAGGAAGTAGGAGTAAGAGAACCTGTGTTTGAACCCCGTTCACGGGGCCAGACAGAACTGTATTCCTAGAGGAGTTACACAAAAGGTTGATCCACACCCGAGGCTGGGGTGGAGCTTTAGCGGTGCTGCTGGGCCTCTTGGCTGGACAAGATCTTGGTGAAGTAGGAAAAACTTTGGCAGATCTGTGACTGACTAGCACGGAAAGAGTCCATGAAGTGGGAGCACAACCCAGGGGAGACAGTCAAAAGGTAAAGCCAAGGAGAGTGTTGTCTGTCCTCAAAGACAAATGTCGCAGAGTTGTGTCGAGCTGGAGTTCCTAAGAGAACGTTGATGGAAGCCAAACTGTATGCCGGGGAGCTTCTGAGAGGCTCTCACCCCGGGAGCGGGTCACACACCTTCTGAGAGGCTCTGCCCGGGGAGCGGGTCACACACCTTCTGAGAGGCTCTGCCCGGGGAGCGGGTCATAGAGGATGTTGCTGATGGAACTGCACAAGTGAAGCCAATCAAGGCTGTTCCAGGGAGGGTAATTATCCGCCCAGGCTAAGGAGGGCTCATTTTTCTCCAGCAAGAAGTTATGCTAGGTGTGGAGATGGTTTGCCCATTCAGAACTCCCCTAACAGCCAGGCATGGTGATTGAGGAGCCAATAGCCACCATGCCCACCCAGAATCACTCTGACCCAGGGAGCCAGCAGGTGCAGCAGGGAAGAGCAGGGCCGTGTTCACCTTTGGCCGTGAGTAGCAATGAGCAGATTAAATCGGGTCATCATTAAATCATGAGTTTAGCAGGCGTGGAGAAACATAGGGAGGCTCCCGGATATGGAAACACAGTGGCTCAGAGAGAAGGGCTGAGGATTACAGAGAGCTAATTAAGTTAGCGTCTCCTGCCCATGCTTTGTATCCCACCTTCATCTGTAAAAGGATGGAGCCTTTTCATGCTGTACGAGGCCTTGCTTATGTCTGACCTTAGTATCTTCTTAGTTGTACACATGGAACATATTCATTCAAGTACAAAACCACAAAACTTTATTTACTAGCTAAACAGATAAAAAGCAAACAAAACCGAAGACAAAGATAGGGCAGCACATTCATGAAGGCTGGGGCAAGAGTTTGACCTGGTCTGTGCTGTACAACAAGATTGTGTTGATAAAAACATAAATTTAAAAAGCTAAAACCCCTCAAACATTAAGAAAGATAAACAATACAAGAATGCTCTTATATTCCATGAGCATCAAATCCATTCTTTATAAATTTAACCACTACTGGAAAACATCTATTACAACTATACATTTTTATTAATCTCAAACTATAAAAATCAATAGCCGTTGGCATAGCACATGTCTTTAATCCCAGAACTTGGGAGGAAGAGAAAGATGGGTCTTTATGGGGCTGGGGAGATAGCTCAACAGTTAAGAGCACTCGCTGCTCTTCCAGGGGTTCTGAGTTTAATTCCCAGCATCCACATGGTAGCTCACAACTGTCTGTAATTCCAGTTCCAGGGGACATGATACTCATGACAAAACACCAATGCATATAAAATAAAAATATATAAAGTTTTTAAAAACAGAACTACAATTTCTCTCTCTGTTTTAAAGTCGGGTCTCTATGATTTCATGGCCAGTCTGGTCTATATAAAGAAGTTCAAACCAGACAGTGAGGCCCTGCCTCAAAAATAATAAATAAATAAATAAATAAATAAATAAATAAATTGCCTTGTTCTCATTATAAGACATAGGTAGAGATATTTATAAAAACAACAATGAAGCGAAGATTATGTCTTGACACAATAAAGGCAGCTATAGAAACAAGTATCTCCTTACCTCAAACTTCTCTTCTAAACATACAACGGCCATCTTTTCTCTTCTGTGTTGTACCCTAAGAGAAAGAGTAAACCGAGATGCCATGTCATTCTTGTCATTGTCCAAATTACACCCTCTCCCTCCAACCTCACAGTCCATCCCTCATCTAATACAAAGTCTGGAGACTAGTATTGGAAACGGACAAGGTCAAGCTGTTTCAGGCTTGGATTTATGTCTAGGCTTAAAGTTGCCCACTAGAGGGCAGTGTCTTGGGCTCTAGCCTCCACAGCAATTATTTCCCACTCCTGAAACCCGTTCCTAGCATCCTGTCTTGGGGTGCTATCGAATCTCGAAGTATCATCTAAATACTAGGCTTATAGCTTCACTCGGAATCTCAATTCTCTGGTTTTCTGTCTGCGAATTTCCTTGGCTATAAGATCAAGGAGCACTGACAACCAGCAACAAAACTATATTTCCCAGGCGGGATGAGGAGGGATGGCAGAGCCGAATCGATCCTGGCCATGTCTGAATGGATGAGTAACCACTGTGGCCAAACAGAGGCTAAGTCCTTAAATTCTGGGAGGGATTTGGGGAGAGACACAAAGTCACGAGAAATTCAGGATCCTTCGAAAGATTCAGCTCCCAAATGAATTCCAAACAAAATTTTACCGCTGAACCCTACCGAACTAGGGTAAGATCATAGGTACAAAACATACTAATGACTACACGAAGTCACATGGAATAAAATCTCCATAGCCACATAGCTAGAGCCACAATTTCATGGTTTAGTGCTACACTGAGCACTTAAACAGGATCCAAGCATGCACAAAAAACAAACTGTAGGCGACAGCGACACTCTTTTACAAGGGTGTAATTCTATTTTATTGACGTTCATGAAAACAGCATATACAATCCCTCAGTCAATATCTCTCTCTCTCTCTCTCTCTCTCTCTCTCTCTCTCTCACACACACACACACACACACACACACACACACACGTCAGACAATCACCCAGATGGGAAAACCACGGAAGTCACAGGCCACGGAAACCAGCAGCGACCATCTCAGCACCACTGCCATCACACCCGTCTACACAGCCAAACCAGTCACGCACAGGATACCAGGCACGTCTAACAACCTCCAAGTGACACACACACACACATCCATCCTACCACCTGGTTACAACAACACCCTTCCTCTCCTCCGCGATACACGTGGGGCTGTCACAACCACTGTCAAGAAAGAAACATCTCCAGTCAGGCAAGCACACACACATCACACCAACCACAAACCAGGCTCCCAAAGCTGGCAGGCTTGCAGCACACCCAGCGGAGACACGGCCACCTAAGTCACAGACACATCCTTCAGGCGTTCCTGACACTCCGACCTCCACGGGAGTGCATCTCAGGGTTCAGCCTGCAGCGCCTGACTTCGGGACCACGGGCTCCGCAAGACGCCTAACGAACTCGTCTACAGACTCTGCCCTCCCGCGACCTTAGTGCCCCGAACTCTCGCGAGGAAACGAAACCGAAGCGGCGTTCCGGACGCGAGGAGTCTGGGAAATGTAGGCCCACGTCAGAAAGGTAACTGCAAAGTCGGCTAGCTATTCTGTGACGAACTGTACTGGTGGCAATGCGATTTTATACCTCTGTGGGATTGCTCCACACAGACTTCAGCCATAGCGAGTTGCTCGTGAAGGGTCACTACGTACTTCTGGTATAATTCACTAGTTGGCCATAATGATTTTTATTATATAAATATGCTTTTCTTCTGTTAGTATCTCATACCGAGTCCAGGGGTTCCATCAGCGTATGACTGTGCGATCGTGTTGACTGTGAAAAAATGATGGTCGAGTTATTTCTTCCTTGAATACTTATTGGATGATCAGGAAAATGTAATCACTTTATCTGAAAAGTAATTTAGGCGTGACATTTTCTATTAGAGTTATACTATGGGGAACAATGAAAAATTGATAGTCTTTATTTTTTATTTATTTATTTATTTATTTATTTATTTGTTTGGTTTTTCGAGACAGGGTTTCTCTGTGGTTTTGGAGCCTGTCCTGGAACTAGCTCTTGTAGACCAGGCTGGTCTTGAACTCACAGAGATCCGCCTGCCTCTGCCTCCCGAGTGCTGGGATTAAAGGCGTGCGCCACCATCGCCCGGCGATAGTCTTTATTTTTATGAAAAATTATTTTGAACCTTTTGCATAAAAATGAAGCTTGGAAGATAATTTTGATGTCTAATGTTAACCATTTATTTTGTTAGACACAGTTTAAAAATACACATTACAAACATTTTAAGTACTCTAGTCATTCCCATATAACCATGTATATGCCAGAAATATATACACATATATACATATATCCCTTAAAAATCTGGAAGACTAATATGCTGGTTTGAACGAAAATGGCCTCCACAAGCTCATATATTTGGAATTTGGTTGGTAAGAGGCTGGAGAGATGGCTCAGCAGTTAAGAGCACTGCCTGCTCTCCAAAAGTCCTGAGTTCAATTCCCAGCAACCACATGGTAACTCACACCATCTGTAATGAGATCTGGTGTTGTCCTCATTAACTTAGACCGTGAGACCCAATATGGACAAGATCAACAGAACCACCACATACGGGCTGCCCATGCCTGCTTCAGCATTGCCAGGGCACACATTTAAATCATTCATTTATCCATTTCCTAGCTGGTAAGCTGTTTAGGAAAGGTTAGGAGGTGTGGCCTTGTTGGAAGAGGTGTGTCACTGTGGGTGGCCTTGGAGGTATCTAAAGCCCAAGCCAGGCCTAGTCTCTAACTTTTGGGTCCTACATGAGCTCTCAGCAACTGCTCTAGTGACATGCCTGCCTGCCAGATGTCACACTCTCCACCATGATGAAACTGCAGACAAGCCCCCAATTAAGAGTAGTTTTCTACAGGAGGTGGAGACAGGTGGATCTCTGAGTTTGAGACCAGCCTGTTCTATAGTATGAGTTCCAGACCAGCCAGGGGTGCACAGAAAGATCCTGTCTCAAAAATAAAAAGTAATTCCCCCCTTTGGTCAAGTCGTCTCTTCACAGCAATAGGAAAGTAGCTAAAACAAATACATTGGTTATACTGGGAGGAGCTGATAGCAGGGATGATGGTCAGACAAGCCCAGCTTTATCTGGAACGTGTAAACCTTTTACAAGCAGAAGAGATCTACACATTGTCTTGGAAATGAAAAATAAATAATGTGGACACATTCAAGTCCTCATGGAACCTACATCCAGCAACAGCAAGCAGGCGAAGAGAGAGCCCTCCTTCTTCCATGCCCTTATATAGGCTGCCAGCAGAAGGTGTGGCACAGATTAAAGTGAATCTTCCACCTCAAAAGAGTTGGATTAAAAGTGGGTCTTCCCACTTCAAATGATCCAATTAAGAAAAAGGTCCTATCCAGCTGCACCCAGCAGCGCGGGTTATAGAGAATTCCAGATATAGTCAACTTGACAGTCGAGACCCATCACAAATCCTCATCTTGCCATCTTGATACACAATCATATCACCTTATATCATGCTTAATTTCTGAGTGAAAATGATAACCAGTTCATAATTATTGCTCACATGATATAATCATCCCACATACAAATCGCAAATGCATTATACATTTGACCAGGCCACAATCACCTAATGGGATATAACTCTCCCTCATACAGATGCAAATGCATTATAAATTTAAAATAGTTGGTAATATCCCTTGGGGAACACTCGTTCAACATCTCAGACTTAAATATGATAACCATTGATTTCTCTTAATTGTAGTTATAGCACCTGATAAAGAGATTGAAGAAAGAAAACAAATATCTGTACAAATGCATTCTTAACAAAATATAACAGAAACACACCAATTAGGATCTCTTTTTTGCAACTGGTCATGTGGCTTTAGCTGATATGTATAACTACTACCTTTCTCTACTACCCATTCTGTATTTCCTAGTTCCGCCCCCCTGGGCAAGAACCACAGCAGGTCTTTGCTCTCTTCCTGGAGGAGTGACTCATCCATCCCTTCATTCCTGGTGTGTCTGAACCCTAATTCTGTGAATCCTGTGTGGAGTAGGCTGTTAGAGTTTCCAATTGACTTTAATGGCGGGACATGGTGGCACCAAGAGACGCCCTAGAGGATCTCCTGCAAGTCCACATGTGATCATTCAGACCTCCATTGTGGGGAAGCAATTCAATCTTCCCTTGGTAATCGGGATCATTCTCCCCTCCTGACAGTGTTATTCCTTTCTTAACCTGTTGACTTCACAGCAGCAGAAGCCCAAAGTGGCCAAAGGGAAGCCTGAATTCCCAGCTCCGTGGAATGTTTGCTGTGGCTCCAGACAGTTCTCCCCTACCTGGGACCCAGACTTCCAGGCCAGCAGAACATAAGGGCACAGGAACAAGAAGTAAAAATTTGTCTAGTGGGTCACTAGAGGTGATAGTGAGTGGAATTAGTCCTTTTCCACCTCTTGATTCCTGGACCCATGGATTCTGGCAATAGGAGAAACAGTACCTTATATTGAACCCTGATTCAAAGCATATACTGTCTTCTGGAGTGTCGGGGACCAGCCAGGACAAAGTATTTCTCGCGTCAGAGTGAAGGTGTGGGAATAAATGAGGTACAGTTCACACGACAATATCAGGAGGGAGTCTCAGGGTTCATTCAAATCCTGAAGATCACCTGAGTTTATTAGCCAAATGGCTTTTATATCAAAACAATAACTGAGGTGGGGGATTCATTAGCATTCTGCTTCCTGGGCAGGGTTGGAGGGGATGGGGAGACTTAGGTCATGTTCATAGCTATTGTCTGTTTTGTCACGTCCATGCCCATTTTGTCTGTGAATTCCGTGACACTGACTCAGAGCCTGACTTTCCACAGACTTTTACACTCCTACAGCTTCTCACCCCTGTGAATGTCCTGGTGGTAATAAGTCCTCATCTGGAACTCAAGGTTTCCCAGCATTCCTACGTTCACATGGTTTCTCACCACCATGAGTTCCTTGATGGCGGGTAAAGTTCGAGCCCCCGTGAAAGACCTTCCCACGTTTCTTGCATTCATAAGTGTTCACATCAGTGTGAACTCTTTGATGGTCACAGGTTTGCTGCTGTGGGATATTATTATTTTAAGTAGGCAGAGCTGTTCTGCATTTGTTTAATGATGTAAAGATGTGTTGCTTTGCTTGCCTAAGCACCTGATTGGCCAACAGCTAGGCAGAAGAGGGATAGGTGGGACCAGTGGGCAGAGAGAGTAAGTAAGAAGAGGAATTTAGGCTCTAGAGGGAACATATAATACTAAAAGGTACCGAGAACTGAATCTGCACGATACTCAGCACTGACCTAAACATACGTTTGCATCACCCAGAACTGTCATTCACCCACAAAACACGCCTGAAAAGGAGCTGGAATCACCTTTCCCTTTAAATGTCCAGTTCACCTCTCTTGAGATTCTTCATTTCCTTTACAACTGAAACTTTTCAAATGTAAGAATTATGCTAACTAAGTCCCACATGGTTCCCTCTTCTTCCATGGTATATATACATATACATGTTATATATGTAAAATATATTACATATCTCCTATAACCTTAGTCAAACATGGTTTTCTTTCTCCTTTGAGACAGTCTCATGAATTCCTGGCTGGCCTTGAATTAACTATGTGGTCCAAGCAAGACCCTGAACTTTTGATCCTCTATCTCCACCTTCTGAGCATTAGCATTTCAGGCATGGACCGCGATACCTGATTATGCAGAACTGGAAACCAAACTCAGGGCTTCATGCACGCTAGGCAAACACCCTACCAACCGAGCTACATCTCCAGGCCCTCACAGGACTTTTTAAATGAAATTCTGATGTTTTAAAAATTCTTTTGGACTTTGTATGTTGTGTTAAAAAAAAAGCACTTCTAAGTTTTCCTAGAAAATATGTGCTCCACATATAAAAATGTCTTGAATATTTTACACATTTACATTTCTTTGCAAATACTCTAAAATAGAGCTATAGCCACTTCTCTTGTAAGGCATCCTTACAGTACATAAAAAGCCCACCAGTAAAGTCTTTCCTAAATTAACATAGACTATATCATGACCCTGGATGACAGGCATATTATTTTGCCCAGAGGTCTTCTGGTATTACACTTAGGGGTTTTTAAAAAGAAATGATCGTAATGAGTAGAAATAAATCAGCTTTTCTTGCTTCTGCGTCACATGTTGTCACAGCAGTGAAGAGTACGCCCTGGGAAAATGCGGTCTTCATAAGTTCCCTCACCAGGGAGGGCTGGGAAACAAGAGCACTCGTATAGCACGCGCAGGCTCTGGGTTTCACACCACACAAGAGTACAAATGTCCAGCTTTCGACCCAAGTTTACACGATCACTGAGTCACTCTTCTCACACTTACGGGCGCTGCATCAGTATGGACTTCCTGTTGCACGAGAGGCGAGTCCAAACTAAAACTCTCCACATTCCCTGGACATCGGTGGTTCCCTGCCTT